TTGATAACATGAGAATTATGCCGACTGTTATTTACATAAATTATTTAGGTAAATGAGAAAAATATAATTTGCATAATAATTTGGAACAGGGTGTATATTATATATATATATATATAATTACACAAGATCCAGCGCACTCACCTATCCACCAAACAGCAACTTCAATGTGGGTGTATAATATATATATATATATATATATATATATATATATATATATATATATATATATATATATATATATATATATATATATATATATATATATATTATTAAGAGTACAATTCATATTTTATTGAACAAACCTCCTAATGATAACACCTAATCTAGGCAAAAATAATGGGGGTTTAGTTACATTATATGATCATACATTGCATAATCCTGCCATGATCATACATTGCATAAGCCTGCCACAACGTCAACATTGACGTTGTGGCAGGCTTATGCAATGTATGATCATATAATGTAACTAAACCCCCATTATTTTTGCCTAGATTAGGTGTTTTTAAAAAAACAAATAAAATCTTTCAACATTGAAGTTGCTGTTTGGTGGATTGGTGAGTGCGCTGGATCTTGTGTATTGTATTATTTGGCCGCCAGCAGCACCCCCATTTATGCTTGTTCAGGTGAGTGCAGCCAACCCCCTCTTGTTTTATTTATATATATATATATATATATATATATATATATATATATATATATATATAATTTTTTATATTGTGTGTGTGTGTGTATGTTGGAAGGCCTTTGGCTTGAATTTCTGGGAGGAGTTATGACTCTATGTAAACCCTACCCCTTACTTACCTTTGCCGGTCAAGCTGTTTTGTCTCCATAGTTACCTGGAGGGGATAGGCTCCCTGTATTACTTACCCATTCATGTAATTCCGCTGTTCGTGTACTTCTGCATTCATGCGGCTGTTATCCGACCACAGAGTACACACTCGTTCATTTTTCTTTCGTTAGTTTAAACTACCGACCTCTTATACTCACCTAAGTTCGCCTGTTTCTTACATACGTTCTTTTGCCGAAACACGTACGAACGGCTGGTTTACTAGGTTTTCGTTTTCTACTAATCTATTACATACGGTCCTGTTATATCCCTATTGCACTTTCGTTAACCGAACGCATGAGGTTTATGCAGTTATTTGTTTAGTTTTAAGTATGTTCCTCAAATTTGTTCCTTTTTAACACATTTTTACACATTTTGTACACGATTCTCCCTACGTTTTCCTTAAATCAGAGTGGCACTATTCACCACTAGTGATGTACCGAACGGTTCGCTGGCGAACGGTTCCCGGCGAACATAGCATGTTCGCGTTCGCCACGGCGGGCGAACATATGCGCGGTTCGACCCGCCCCCTATTCGTCATCATTGAGTAAACTTTGACCCTGTACCTCACAGCCAGCAGACACATTCCAGCCAATTAGCAGCACACCCTCCCTAGCAGACCCTCCCACCTCCTGGAAGGCATCCATTTTAGATTCATTCTCAAGCTGCATGCTTAGTAAGAGGGAAAGTGTAGCTGCTGTTCATTAGATAGGGAAAAGCATAACTGGGTATGCTTTTTTTTTTTTTTTTCTCTATGTAATGTAATTGCACTTAGTT